AATCTAAATAAAATAATTAATTGCTCCGAATAAACAGGCTCAAACACTTTTATAACATAATAGTGTTACTAATTAATAAATTTTTAGTGTTTTCTTGAATTTATATATTTTATTTTCTATATAGATTGAAATTGATTTTGAAGAACTATATCCAGCAGATAAGAAATTATTGTTATTTACTAAGTTTGATGGTTTTATAGTCAAATTAATAAAATATATTGAAATACACAAAATCAAATTTGGCGTGCAAGAGACTTTGGTACTACAAGAACTTAGAGCTCCTTCAAATTCTGGTAAACTATTTAACATAATGTTATAATATTTATATTATACCTCATAAATATAATAAGTTATAATATTTTTAATATCTACCTAGGTAATGATACCATTGCAGCCTTGAGACTGATACCATTTTTATTTCAACCAATTACATTAAAATTGGATAAAAAAAGAAAACATTGTAGTACACCTTCGACTTGGCGTCCATCTAAAGTGGAGCAAGCTTCAGCTTTCATAAAATTTATTGCTGTAAGTTTCATAAATAATTATTTAAATTTTTTTCAAAATAAAAATATTATTGAATCCTTCATAGTATTTTAATACAAGTATACACATGTGACATTTTCATGTACCTACTGCTTAAACCAAAAATAACTAAAATTACTATATTTTTTTTTACTTATTATAGGATGCAAATGAATTAAAGACAAGCCACACACAAAAGGTAGACAAATCAATTCAATTTGRAACTACCTTACAGCCGTATGTTATTATTGTTGGACATAGTGTAGATGCATATCAAGAAGACCATTCCAATCCTACACCTATTGAATCATACACGGTCATAAATAACACTTATTACAAATTAGAGACTCCTCTAAAAGCTTTAGACATCTGCTTTAAATCGTATTATTCTTTAAACTTACAATATCCGATCGAAGTACAACATATATGGAGTTTTATCCAACAGTATTTTTTTGAAATTTTTGACAATAATGATAAAAAATTCCCTTCAGTTACAACTTTAATTAWTGACTTAAATCATTTTTAAATAATTCATTGTGTAACAAATGTTTAGTAAATTAATTTAAAGAAAAAGTGTTTTCTTAATATTTCAGTTATAAATTTTTTTTATTTATATGTTATTTGCTTATCAAAATATACAACATTACAGACCTAACTGTATGTTTTGTTTTTTTCTAAAGGCTAATAAATTAACTCCTACTATAATTCACTATAATGGTTTCTTGTTTTTTATGTAAAAAATCTTTCAAAT